TAAAAACTACTTTCTAAATCACTATATTACAGAATGTATACTAATTGCATTCATATTTTTTTGAGGAGTTACAATTTTTATATAATTTTAGTCAACAACTCATACATATGCACTATATAAAGTATATGAATTTGGATGATAACACAATAACTAATATAAATCATTAAACTACATGTTATGGTCTAGAGTTATATTAGTATTGTTATTGTGTTCTCATCCAAATTCATATATCTGGTATAATGAACATGTACGAGATATTGGCTAAAAATATAAGTGATTCCCAAAACGAATGTAATTTGTATATTATGTGATTCCAAGTAAGAGTTTTCAAGATCATGTGTAACATATGTTTGTGTAATATAGTTATTTAGAAAATAGGCGGTCCACAACATACATGTCTTATTGTCTAGCAGACCAATTATATTAGATCTTAAAATTTTAATATCCGATTATAAAGTAAAACCCGTGAAGTCCATATTAAAAATTAATCTCGTAAAAAAAATTATGGTGACAAGAATTTTGTGATTTGGATCTATATCTATATCTGGTTATGATAAGTTTATTCTTATATTGAGATAAGATCGTTGGGGTAGTATAAATACTTTTGTATAATTAACATAAAATTTTCCAATACTTTTTTTTTGACATAATATCAGAGCATTGATTAGTAGTTTTTTTTTAAATGTATTAGATTTTTGTGTAATAAAAATGATTATGGGAGAAAAAGACACAGAAAATGGTGGTAACAGAGGTAATGAAAAAACTGTATCCTAAAAAAATGGTTACAATAATACAGTGATGAAATGACCATATCCCACTAGCATATAGTACATGTATAATTTACTTCCAAAGAATAAAATTATGGAATTTACGAAATCTAGGAAATAATGAGAGGTGTTCATTTTTCAAGGAAATATCAACCTATATCCACCAGAAAGGTTTTACGAATTCATTTCAGAGATATTCTCGAGGAAAAAAAAAATCACAAGAGATGAGAATGAGAAATACCTTTGTTATATGGAAATGTGGTTTATTCAGATAATCTCTCCGCACCGTTTTATTGAGAAGAGAAATAGAAGATGTCTTTTTTTTCTTCTAAAAGCTGAGAAACTAGGATTTTTCTTCTCTTAGGTATTTATATGCAAATTTTTGTGTCTATAAAGCGAATTTAGTCTATTATATTATATAAGCGATTCAGCACTAGGTTAGATTTATGTTGCATCTAGATGCTGCATCTAGATATTGTTTGTTTTGAAAATTAGTTTTTGCATCAAGTGCTGCATTTAGATACAAAATTGTTCGTTTATGAATTAAAAAAAATAGTTGGATGCAAAATAAATCAAATGATTAAAAAAGTATATTTATGTTATATTAGTTAACTTTCCGCGTCTTGCTCTGGCTAATATAATTTCCATTTGATTTTTGAAAATCTAATAATAGTTTGGATTCATTTGTTTTTTTTTAGTATATTTGAATGTTAGATTTCCTTGCATTTTAATATTGGAAAAAATGATCGTAAAATTAGTATAAAATAGAAGAAGTAAATAAAAACATATTGGTATCCAAATAATTTAATTTAAATAGTTTTGAGATCTTTTGATCATTGTTCTACGTATTTTGGACGTAATTTTTTGAACTACCATATGAACTTATTCGATTTTAATCACTGTTTTATGTGTTTTAAACATCACAAATACCGTCATTTCAGTAGTTATATATATATTAACTTTTTGTAAGAGTTTTCCTTTTAAATTCAGTTTTATTTGTTTTGAAACGACATTCCATTACTTTTTAAAAGGTTTCTATTTTTTGTTTCTTTTAATATTTTTGTTAGATTTTTTCTAAATTTTGAAAACGTGAGATGTAGATTCCATTTTTTTATTAAAAAATGTTTTTGTTAATTTGTTTTCTAAATTTTGGTTTACATAATTTTTGTTATAAATTATTGACATAGTATATGTTAATACTTTTTTAGAAAAATATTAATATATGTTTACCTGATGACTCCATGAATTTTTACATTTCATCAGATAATAACGAATCAAGGATTAAACGGTCTTTTTGCAGCTAAAACTCATTATAGAGCTGACACGTAAGCGAAAGACTCTCTCATATTTATACTAAACCATAAAAAAAATCGAAGTTAGATTTTAGTTAACATTTTAGTTAGATTTTTGTTTATTTTGAAGACATTAGAAATGATAAATTTCTATTCTTTTAATAAAACGTTTTTGGTTCTTTTTAAAAAACAATTTTTGGTTTAATATAATTTTATAAACGGTTTGATTTGACAGTGAAATTAAGCATTTAACCATAACAATTTAAACCGATTTGATTTAAGGTTTTTTACACGTCATTTGATACGGTTTGATTTGAAAGCGAAATTAAGCATTTAACCATGATAATTTAAACCGGTTTGATTTAAGTTTTTTTGACACGTCATCAACTAAAAATGAATCAAAAACTGACACGTAATTAAAAAATATGGCTCAACGGTCTTTTTGCAGCTGAAACTCATTCTAGAGCCGACACGTAAGCAAAACACTCTGAAACACACTCTGAGCGCGACACCTAAACAAATCACTACACAAATAAGTATATAGATTTTTTGTTTATTTTGAAGACATTAGAAATGATAAATTTCTATTTTTAATAAAACGTTTTTGGTTTTTTTTTAAAAAAATTTCTGGTTTAATATAATTTTATAAACGTTTTGATTTGACAGTGAAATTAAGCATTTAATCATAACAATTTAAACCGATTTAATTTAAGTTTTTTTACACGTCATTAGATACAGTTTGATTTGAAAGCGAAATTAAGCATTTAACCATAATAATTTAAACCGGTTTGATTTAAGTTTTTTTACATGTCATCAAATAAAAACGAATCAAAAAATGACATGTAATTGAAAAATATGGCTAAACGGTCTTTTTGCGACTGAAACTCATTCTAGGGCCGACACGTAAGCAAAACACTCTGAAACACGCTCTGAACGCGACACCTAAGCAAATCACTACAAAAATAAGTATATAGATTTATATCAAATTAGTTTTATATTGGATTAACTTAAAATTATTTTCGAAGTGATCTTTTTCAAATTAATTTTTAAAAATACAGAAAAATAATTCTGATTTTTTTTTGCAAAAAACATGATTTCGCAGATTTGGCGGAGAAATTTTGTTTTCATGCATTTTGACAAAAAATTAGAATTTTGCGTTTTTGGCGGAAAATCAAAATTTTGCAAGAAAACATCATTATTATCTGATTGGGTGGGAAAACTGGTGATTTTTTAGTTTTGGTGAGAGATAAATTTTGTGTTTTTGTCGGGAAATCAAAATTTTGCAGTCTTTGCAGTAAACCAAATTTTTTTTGATTTTGACGAAAAATAAAGATTTTGCATTTTTGACGGAAAGGCGAGATTTTTTGGTTTTAACGAGAAACCAAGATTTATATTTTTTTTGTGGGAAATCAAGATAATGTTTTTTTTTGGGAATCAAAATTCTGCGGTTTTGGCAGGAAACCAAGATTTTTTTGTTTTTGGCAGAAAATCAAAAATTTTCATTTTGGCGGGAAACTGAGATTTTGCGGTTTTGGCAGAAAACTGAGATTTTTTGTTTTGGTTGGAAACCAAGATTTTTTGTTTTGGCTGGCACCAAATTTTAGTGTTTTTGGTGGAATATGATATTTTGTGTTTGTGGGGGAAAAATGATATTTTGCGTTTTTAACAAGAAAAAGTGGTTTTGCGGTTTTGACAGGACATCAAAGCTTTTCATTTTTACAAGAAAATTAAGATTTTGTAGATTTGGCAGGAAAACATGATTAACGGTTTTGCAGAAATAGGAAATTTTGCGATTTTGGGTCGAAAACCAAAATTTTTTGTGTGGGAAAACATGATTTGGCCAAAAGCCTAATTGATTTGACAAAAGTTGGATATGAAGGATCAATACCGTCAGTTAGATAGTATGTCATGTTGTATTGACTTTGGTTGACGAAAAAATTCACTCTTGGAGTATTTCTCTGTTCAACATCATCGAAAACTGGTGAACGGTTTAATACGTTAATATCGTTCAATGTGTCCGAACATCCAAAAAAGGTATAACAGATCTATAGATCATGTGATGCAACTGCTTCAAGACAGTGGTGGTTCCTTTATCTGTCCAAGTAATTGAATTTCCCATGCTGTAAGACAATTTTTCTATTCCCAATGCATGCAATCAATACTCCCAATCATCTCTGGAAACCCCCGCATCTCACTAACATGCAGGATTCTTTACAGATCATCTTGAGTTGGAGCTCTCATGAGATACACTTGCTTATACAATTGTATGATTCATTTACAGAATATACGCAAACACTAATGTTTTAGTACCTCATATTTTGATGTATTCATCAACTGCGTTGGCCGCCACACTATATACCAACATTCGCAATAGCCGTGGTACATTAAGCTAATGGAGATATACTTTCTTTCTTGGCTGCATCAACTCGTTGGATGAAATACTTGTCACTGCTTGATAGGTCTCCAACTAACCGAAGAAAAACATGTTTGCACATCTGAAATCGCCTACGAAACATTGTATCATCATATGTAGGTTGATTGGCAAAATAGTCTCCAATCAACCTTTGGTTTGCCACTACATGATCTCTCTAGAAGTATTTTCTCTTGCTTCAAGGTTGATAATTTTCCTTTATTTTGTTTTGACGCTCCTTGAACGGGTTGATGATATACTTCTCTTCAATTTTGGACTGTCTTTTGTAAGCTTCAATATCGAAAGGAAATTCTGATGGATCTATTAATTTTTTGTAGTAAGATGTTATTTGTGGTATTGATACATCAATGGAAGTATGATTTCTATTTATAAGAAATTATGTGGTTTAAATCGAGGGTGAGAAATCCTAATAGATAAGGCATGAGTGGTTAGAATCGAGTGGTTGAAATATAATAGATAAGGATTGGATATAATAGCCGAAAGTCAAGGATTACATTGAAGAAAAATATATGGAATATTGACAAATAAATATTATTGAAGTAATGCAGAAATACAAAAAGACATGAGATACACAGTGACAAAAAGCAGAAAGTGACAAACACACGTTATTAAAAGAGAAGTGATAAAATACAAACATACACTTGACAACAGTTAATTTCTCAATAGATCGTTCTCTAGGTTCTCTAATAATTTGTTGCTTTGATCATCGAGATGTTCCTTTTCACTTAGCTCTAAAAAATCTTCATAATTTTTTTTCTTGAGTCCTCTCGTTCATCAGTTTGTCCAATCGTTCCAACTCTTGTTCCTTGAATTATTTGAATTCATTTCATTCTTCGTTGATCACTTCCAATGCTGCGCCCTTACCTTTCTTTTTACTCTTTTTTTAGCTGCATCCCTCCCCATTTGATGAGCACTTGATCCTACAGAGTTCAAGTTTCTTACATCATTTTCATGAGCTCTGTTATATCCACTGTTTCCTGAGCTATTTTTCCTCCTATTTAACTACCATAATGTGTTTGATCACAACAAAGCTGTCTGTTCTGCATTTAATCCAGCCACTGAGCATCACCAAATTTTGATCAGTGGTCCATTTTGGACTTTTTCGAGTATGAGATGAATCTTCTACATTTTGGGTGGCCTTGTTAGCACCGCTCATGGCACCAAGTGCCATTTTTGTTAAAAATTCTGGAAATTCAGTTGCGTGAGATGGATATAGTATCATCGATTTATAATATGGATGAGATGATAGTTTGGAACAACTAAGGACATCATAAAATTTGGTGTAAACCTATAATTTGGTGTATTTTGGGGACATGCTTGGTCAAAAGAATGATTTTTAAATTGATAGTTGTTAGGATTTGGGTAGTAAAAAGGATAATTAGAAAAATTTTGGATATTCAAAGGATTATTGTTAGGATCTATTTTACGAGAAATATGTTTATGACTAGAATGAAAGAGTTTATGAGAGGATAAAAAAATCATAGTAAAAAATAAGTTTTTTTTTTGTCTCCAAATTGAAATAGAGAAAAAAAATTATGAATTTTGGTATAAATTTTTTTTCTTAAATAATATACAATAAAAAATTAACTTTAAATATTTGGATGAGATAAAAATCTGAGAATACAAAGAGATGAATAAAAAATAACACATGTCCAGCTTTATTCTATCTCCTCATCTAGATAGATTTACGCGTATAGAAAGTATGTGAATCACACTTCCTATTCTAATTGGACAATTTGGACTGCATGAGACTATCTTTTCTGATGTTTCAACATGTTGAATAAATTCAACTTGAAATTATACACGTTGGTTTTCAACACCTTCATGCAAATGTTGAATTTCTTTTAACCGATGTGTATAAATTCATGTTGAATTTATTCAGCATGTTGAAACATCAGAAAGGTTTCACGCAGCCAAATTGTCTTATTAGAAGAGCGAATATGATTCACACTTTTTATACGCATAAATATATCTAGATGAGGAGAGAGAATAAAGTTGGACATGTGTCATTTTTTTATTCGTCTCTTTGTATTCTCAGATTTTTATCTCATCTAATTATTTAAAGTTAATTATTTTATTATACATTATTTTTAAAAAACGTTTTATACCAAAATTCATAATTATTTTTCTCTATGAATTGAAACTTATTTCATTCAATTTGGAGGAAAAAATGTCTTTTCCACTATAACTTTTTTATCCTTTTATAAACTCTTTTATTCTAGTTATAAATAATTTTTTCGTAAAATAGATCTCAACACTAATCTTTTTAATACCCAAAATTCTTCTAATTATTTGTTTCATTATCCAAATCCTAAAATCTATCAATCTGAAGATCATTCTTCCAACCAACTACGTCCTCAAATTATATTTTAATTAAAATTCTTATTTTTAAATTAATTTATTACACAATATATATTAATTACATTCTGTTATAACACATATCATATATGGACTCTTATACCGGCCCATTAGGCCCATCAGGGCATTGTACTTAACCTAGATTCCCTATGTACTCTATATATACATTTCAGTGATTAATAAAGTTTCTAAGTTTTCACAACACGTTATCAGCACGATAAGACTCTCTGAGCGAAAAACCCTAATAAATCCGGCCACCACCAAAACCCTAAAAGCAAGTCGAAACTTAAAAGACGCATATCTTCCAAACCGTGAGGAACCAGAAGACGATCTACATATCAAATCGAAGCCCTCGACAAGACGAATCTACTGGTGAAAACCGTTTGTCGATCCAACGTCGGACGCGCCCTCACGCACACTTACAGTACACGACGATCAACCGAAAAAAAAAAACCAGATCCGAGTTTTTCCTGCTTCAACCAGCTTCTCCAGTTTTGGTGATCAATTCTTGGAATTTGTAGCGGCTAACTGAGGTCTATTAGCTCCCAGTTTCATTAGCCTGTCAGAAATCCAAAGGTGGAAAAGCACACCAGCAAATGGAAACCATAGTCGTAGATAGTGGATCCAGCCACACTATCTTAAGAAACAAAAGTTACTTCATAAACCTAACCTATCAAACCGCAAATATTAGCACCATCGCGGGTCCCTCAAACCTTATCGAAGGATATGGCCATGCCTATGTGTTGCTATCAAATGGCACACAACTTGAAATACCAGATGCTCTATATTCTCCTAGTTCGAAGAGAAATCTTCTGAGCTTCAAGGATATAAGACAGAATGGTTTCCACATAGAAACCCAAGGTCAAGGGAACAAAGAATCCCTCCTAGTCACTAAAACCGTAGACGGCCATAAACAAATCCTCGAAACCATACCCGCGCTCTCTACTGGACTTTACCATGCTAAAGTCAGTATGATTGAAGCTAATACCACTCTCAAAGCCCGGTTTACTGATTATACTATTTGGCACGACCGGCTCGGTCATCCCGGTGCAAATATGATGCGTAAACTAATTCAAAACTCTCAAGGGCATACCCTCAAAGAAAACCGAGCTTATCCTCAACACCTCATGTGCACAGCTTGTTCTCAAGGCAAATTGATCACTCGGCCTTCACCAGTTAAAATCTCTAAACAAACACTTCATTTCCTAGAAAGAATCCAGGGCGATATCTGTGGACCTATACATCCATCTTCCGGACCATTCCGGTACTTCATGGTCCTTATAGACGCATCGACCCGTTGGTCATATGTTTGTCTCTTGTCCTCTCGGAACCAAGCCTTCGCTAGGTTCTTGGCCCAAATCATCAAATTGCGGGCCCATTTCCCTGACTTCCCACTAAAGACTATCCGCCTTGACAATGCTGGTGAATTTACCTCACAAGCGTTTAATGACTACTGTATGGCCATGGGGGTAACCGTGGAACATCCTGTAGCACATGTCCATACTCAAAATGGATTGGCTGAATCATTCATTAAACGCATTCAATGGATAGCCCGACCATTACTCATGAGATCAAAGCTCCCGGCCTCAGCATGGGGACATGCAGTATTACATGCTGCTGAACTCATACGCATCCGGCCATCTAGTGAACACAAATATTCCCCATCCCAACTACTCTCGGGTCATGAGCCAGACATCTCCCATCTCAAAACATTTGGGTGTTCAGTATATGTACCCATTGCTCCACCACATCGAACCAAAATGGGACCTCAAAGAAGGATGGGAATATATGTTGGTTTTGACTCTCCCACCATCATAAGATATCTCGAGCCAACCACTGGAGATCTCTTCAAGGCCAGATATGCGGATTGCCAATTCGATGAATCGGTATATCCCTCTTTAGGTGGTGAGACAAACAAGCTGGTCAAAGATCTTTCATGGAATCAAACATCATTAAATTGGCAAGATCCTCGGACTCTAGAATGTGATTCAGAGATCCAAAAGATTATTCATTATCAAAAGCTAGCTAATCAATTGCCAGATTCCTTTGCTGACCCGACCAAAGTAACCAAATCGTACATCCCAGCTTGTAATGCACCAGTACGAATAGCTGTCCCAACGGGACAGACCCAAGTTGCTACAGAGTCTGCACCACGTCTCAAACGGGGCAGACCTCTCGGTTCCAAAGATAAGAATCCCCGGAAATCAAAGAAAGGTGCAATAACCGAAACCGGGATTCCTGCAATATCAGACATAGCCGCGGCTGAGACTCAATCTAATGAACCCTCAATGGAAGTTCGGGACGCCGAATCTCCAGGTTCAGAAGATAACAATGAGATCTCCATCAATTACAATATGTCCGGAATACAATGGAATCGAAAAGAAGTCGACTTAAATGCACTCTTTGCATACAAAGTAGCACTTGATGTTGCGCTCACGCAAGAGGATCTAGAACCCACGTCAATAACACAGTGTACACATCGAACAGATTGGCTAAAATGGAAAGAAGCCATAAACGTGGAGTTAAAGAGTCTCAAACTCAGAAACGTGTTCGGTCCGATCATCCGGACCCCATCACACATCAAGCCAGTGGGCCACAAATGGGTCTTTGTGCACAAAAGGAACGAACTCGGTGAAGTCGTTCGATACAAAGCACGGCTTGTAGCACAAGGATTCTCACAGAGACCCGGAATCGATTATGAGGAGACTTATTCTCCAGTGGTGGATGCAACAACATTCCGATTCCTCATAAGTCTGGCCATAAGAGAAAATCTTGATCTGCGGTTGATGGATGTTGTAACCGCATATCTCTATGGGCCCCTGGACAACGAAATATATATGAGACTCCCAGATGGCATTGAACTAAAAGACAAAAATGCATCTCGAGATCAATACTGCATCAGGCTGAACAAATCCTTGTATGGACTGAAACAAAGTGGGCGTATGTGGTACAACCGCCTCAGCGATTACCTCATCAAAGAAGGCTACAAAAATGACCCCATCAGTCCATGCATCTTCATCAAGAAGTACTCAAACAAAGGATTTGTAATCATAGCAGTATACGTGGATGATCTAAACATCCTCGGAACATCTGGTGAGATCTCCCAAACAGTCGACTGCTTAAAAGCAGAATTCGAAATAAAAGACCTAGGCAAAACAAAGTACTGTTTGGGATTACAACTTGAGTACATCAAAGGAGGAATCCTTGTGCATCAATCGGCTTATATCGAAAAGGTACTCAAGCGATTTAATATGGACCAAGCTCACCCATTGACCAGCCCAATGGTAGTTAGAAGCTTAAGTGATGACCCTCTTGGTCCCAAAAAGGATGATGAAGAAATCCTTGGTCCTGAAAAGCCATACCTCAGTGCTGTAGGAGCGTTAATGTACCTGGCTAGTCACACTAGACCAGACATATGTTTCGCCGTGAACCTCCTCGCTCGATATAGTTCATCCCCAACTCAGAGGCACTGGAACGGTATAAAACATCTCCTAAGATACCTTCGAGGTACTCAAGACTTAGGACTCTTCTATACTAACCAAAATAAAGATGGGTTAGTCGGCTTCGCCGATGCAGGATATCTATCAGATCCGCACACTGCCAAGTCTCAAACTGGCTACGTTTTTACGCATGGAGGAACAGCCATCTCTTGGAGATCAATGAAGCAGACACTCACTGCCACTTCATCAAACCATGCTGAAATCCTAGCCATTCATGAGGCTAGTAGGGAATGCGTCCGGCTGCGCTCCATGACTCAGCACATCCGCAGAGATTGTGGTATGGACGAAGACACACAGCCCACGGTGATGTATGAAGACAACGCGGCATGCATAGCTCAGCTCAAGGAAGGATATATCAAAGGAGATCGGACGAAGCACATTCTACCGAAGTTCTTCTCAACCTCAGACTGGCAGAAGGACGGCACTCTCAGCGTTCAGCAGGTCCGATCCAGTGAGAATTCAGCTGACCTCTTCACCAAATCATTGCCTACTTCAACACATCGGAAGCTCGTCAAACAGATAGGAATGTATAGACTTAGAGATCTGCAGTGATGCTACAATCAGGGGGAGTAATGCGTGTTGTACTCTTTTTCCTTCACCATGGTTTTGTCCCACTGGGTTTTTCCTGGTAAGGTTTTAATGAGGCAACATTCCCCAGCGCATTATCGAGATCCCGATTGAGTAGCTGGCCCGGTTCACTCGTCCAAGGGGGAGTGTTATAACACATATCATATATGGACTCTTATACCGGTCCATTAAGCCCATCAGGGCATTGTACTTAACCTAGATTCCCTATGTACTCTATATATACATTCCAGTGATTAATAAAGTTTCTAAGTTTTCACAACACATTCATATTTTTTTTTTGAGGAGTTATAATTTTTATATTTTTTTTTAGTCAGCAACTCATACATATGCACTATATAAAATATATGAATTTGGATGATAACACAATAACCATACTAGTATAATCATTAAACTAATGTTATGGTCTAGACAAACTTTTTATCTGCCTAAAAACTAAGGAGTGAAATGTTGATGAATGTGATCACCACCATGTCCACTACTTAATGGTCTTGTCTATGTCTCTGTTTGGCCTATATATACTCATCAATTTCGTTCTTTCAAAATAATATATATGGATTCCACCCCTTATTTTTAGGCACTTAATTACAAACTTATCTAGGCCATTACATATAGTTTAATGAATTATATTAGTATTGTTATTGTGTTATCATCCAAATTCATATATATGGTATAATGCACATGTGTGAGATGTTGACTAAAAAAAATACAAAGTAATATAGTGATTCCTCAAAACGAATAGGTATGAATGTAATTTGTATATTATGTGATTCCAAGAAAGATTTTTTTCAAGGTCATGTGTAACATATGTTTGTGTAATATAGTTATTTAAATAATAGGTGGTCCGTAACATACATGTCTTACTATCTTTTGGACCAATTATATTAGATCTTAAAATTTTAAAATCTAATTATGAAGTAAAACCTGTGAAGTCAATATCAAAAATTAATCTCGTAAAAAAAAATAGGTTAATAGGAAATCTGTGATTTGGATCTATATCAGAAGATTATGATAAGTCATATCTGGTTATGATAAGTTTATTCTCATGTTGAGATAAGATCATTGGTGTAATATAAATACTTTTTTCATAAATGACATCTAATATTAAATTATTATTTTTTGACAAGATATCAAAGCATTAGTTTCTAGTTTTTTTTTTAATATGTATTAGATTTTTTTGTAATAAAAATGATTATGGGAGAAGAGGACATAGAAGATGGTGGTGAGAGAGGTGATGAGAAGGCCGTATCCAAAAAAAAAAATGGTTAAAGTTATACGGTGATGAAAAGACTGTATCCTACTAACATATTATACATGTATATTTTATTTCCAAAAAGAAAACTATGGAATTTACGAAATCTAGGAACAATCATGAGAGGTGTCATTCATAATCATAGAAAATTACACAATCCAAGAATAGTTCAGGGAAATATCAGCACCTATATCCACTGGAAAGGTTTTATTAATTCGTTTCAAAAATATTCTCGAGAAAAAAAATTAGGAGATGAGCATGAGAAGTAATTTTCTTATGGAGTTATGGTTAATTCAGATTATCTCTCTGCACGGTTTTATGGAGAAGAGAAAAAGAAGATAAAATTTGTTTTTCTCTGAGAGCTGAAAAACTAGAATTTTTTTCTCTTAGGTATTTATATGTAAATTTGTGTTTCTGTAAAGTGAATTTGATCTATTAGATTGTATAAACAATTTGGCACTAGATTAAATTTTATTTTTAGTTAACAAAATCATGGCTGTCTTTCCATGATTCAATAGTATTACTATTAACCAATCAAAATTATTTTCATTTCAAAAAAGTGATCTTGTATTCTGGCTTTTGGATAACTCATAAATACAGTGTTGTTTTTATATTTTTTCTGAACATCTATTTTTGTGACCATCATAACATAATATTTGACCATGATTGTAATATATCTCAAGTAACTACTGTGAGTGACATACCTTTATAGCAAAGCTTGGCTTATTTTCTTTCATATTAGCAAGCTTTCTTTCAAATGAATTACAATATATCTGCAATGTTTCCATGAATATTATTATTAGTGAAAGTATACAATAAAAACAAAACTTGAAATTCATTAGACTACTATCAAATCATTCTGGTATCTCTATACACTTTGTTTGAGGTGACTTCTTAAAGAGATGTTTGTTTTTTTCACCACTGAATGATTAAAACTATAGTCACATAATTGTTACAACCATTCATTATTTGAAACTACTACCTTTTTTTTTATCTAAAACTCATAACAGAATTGTGACAAAACTAAACATTCACAATTAATTGCAATAGATTATGACCAAAAGTTTTGATGCATGCCATTAGTCATCTTATATTATATATGCAATAAAACATAATACAAATGCATTGATAGTTTTTCTAAAAGCATAAATCCAATGAAATAAAACATAAAATAAACACAAAATAAAGTTTTACTAAAAGCATAAATCTAATGAAATATTCTTAGCAAAACACATACTAAACATTGTTTTAAACTAGTCTCAGTGGTGAAGTAATTGGACATTCTGATTTATCATAGACTATAATTTTTCTCCATATATTCGATCTGTTTCTGGAAAAACAGATTCTCTTAATGACTTTGCTTTAATTTTGTCTCCACCTTTTGGAGAATGGAGATTATTATTGTTATCATCTCCACTTCCTTAAAAACATGTGGTGCATCCAAGGAATCATAAAATGATGATAATTTGCTCTATTGTGCTCCAAGTTCAAAGATACTACCTTGACTATAAATGGCTATAAACAACACTAGACATATTCACAAACGACAAAAAAAAATGCAAAAAAATAAAAAAATCAAGTTTGTGAAATGAAAAAAATAAGCTTATGAGAAAATTAAAATCCAAGAAATAATCAAGGGAGGTGTTCTATTATAATCATAGGAAAACTACAAAATCGACAATATTTCTCAAAGGAAATATCAACTTAAATATGAGATTTTACCTCAAAAAAAAAGAAAATGAAACAATAGATAAGCATGAGAAGTACATATATATGTTATGGAGAAATGGAGATCTAGTGGACTCTACCGATCATAATTAAGCTCGATAAGGCACACCAAGAATATCAAACCAAAAGTAATAAGAACAATCAAAAGACCGATTGTAATCAGGTTTTGATTCAGAGAGGAGTTTCCGGGGTCGTCCATTCACCTGGGAAGGAGTTATGATTTATTTGATTGTAATTTTCTTATGCTTCTATGCATATAGGGTTTTTTTTTTTGTGAGAAAGAGGCTGGGACACTAGGGTTTCCTTCTCTTAGGTATTTATATGCAAATTTATGTTTTTTAAAAGCAAATTTGATTCATTAGATAAGATTGGTGATTTGGTCCATTAGATTAGATTTGATGTGAGTTAACAAAATCCTGACTGTCTATCCATGGTCTGAGAGAATCACAATTTAACCAGTAAAAAGTACTTATTTTCATCTCAAAAAGAAAGATATCTTTTAGCCTGGATTTGGATAACTTATAAATACCGAGTTGACTAACCTTTTTGTAATTTATAAATTTTTTAAAAATATATATAAAGGAAATAAAAGAACATAATTTCATAAAATTGTACATAAGAATGTGGAAACTGTATATATTCCTATGAAACAATAAAAACTATAAGAACTTGATTTCTATAAAGAACATTACAGAAAAAAACATTTGTAAAATCTTTTTAAATTGTTCATTAAAACATTTTTTATAATTTAAGATATTATTTACCACATTTCATAATGTTGGAGATAAATTCAATCATTCTTACGTAGACAAGTCATATGCTAGCACATAGCGTCTATGGCTTTTTTGCAGGTACAACCCCCCCCTGGGCCAAATTAGGATTTGTATTGGATTTTTGGCCCAATACGGCCTAAGCTTATAGCACCGGGCATGAATCTAGTTGGATTTGAGAGATCCAGCACGATAGGCCACATGTTCCCAAATTTCTCGTGTTTGATAGCACAGGCCACGCTGTCAGAAATAAGGAAGTCGAAAATTGAGTGGTCAGGAGGAGGAGATGTCACATTCTTTCTGTCCTAGACCTAAGCTCGGTGATCCGAAAGGGTCAAGACATAAGGAAGAGTGGTCCGCACAGGTATCCAGAGAGCAAGGCCTTTCCGTCGCAGTAGCCCGGGATCCGGGCCAGGTATTAACAATCCATTAAAGCGGGAAAATTATTCGAATTTCCCTCCTTTCGATAATAGGAATATGCTTTAGTCTGAATTAATTGCTCATACTCTTACAAACCCACGAGAATGACATTTAATGTGTTTTCATTACGCGTGTCAGGTGATAGGGACATCTTATAGCAGTCAGGGGGAAAAGCAGAAGTTCAGCAAAGAACCATACCGCGTCTAAACCGCCGACCCAACCCGTACACTGAAAGCGAAAGGGTGAGACCATCAGAAGTGCCAAGGGGCGGTCTCGTTGCAGGCAGAACACGCCAAAGATAGTTGGTAAGACCATCAGAAGTGTGACACCATCATAAGATTCGAGTCTAGTCAAGTCGGGTCATGGGCCGATCCACCCGATCCACCATCTATGGTCTAACCTGGTATACAAACCCGAGTCAGGTAATTTCCTATTAATATTTTATCATTTCCTACGGGGAACAGGTACACTTTTCAGCCATCTCAAATCTCACGATATTTTTCTAGATACTCGTGATTCTTGAGCTCAGGTAATTTACACCATTCTGACCATTTTTCCGGTTATCTCATTTCATATCTACTCCACGGCGGTTCCTAAACTGTGGAGCTCCATCACCCTCAAACTCTTCTTTTTCTCTTTTCACCGTAAAAAGCTCATTCTCACTCCCAGGCCTGAATAGATCTTACCTTTCTCAAGGATTCTAAGTCTACCTTCCTTCTTAGAGTTTTCCGATTTCTTTCTGCTCTCCGAACAGCTATATTATGATTTTTTTGAGCCATTTCCTGACTTGAGCATCAGAGTGCTCTCGGAAAACACACACATATCATATTTTCTAGGCTCTAATGTCTTTTCTGTTTTACAGGAGACTTATCTCCAATAAAGGGACTGAAAATCCCCTAAACACATAATAATTTTATAGTTATTCCTCCAAAGAACCAATTAACTATGGTAGAAGCAATACATCGATTAATAATAATACAATTCAGCCACTATGTTTTAATTTGTGAATTTTTTATTCTGGTTTTATCAATGTTATGATACGATCAGAAATAGCAGAAATCAATTAATTTGTAACTTATAAACAAAAATTACAAATCCCTAAAGATTGTGGTAATATAGCTCCTCGTCTCTTCCCACTCTCAATAATAAAAAAAAAACTCAAATTCATGATAAATTTTCCCCAAACGGCTAAGATAAAGTTGAGTTATTTCGCTCAGTAAATAGTCAGTAAATAATTACTATCACAACTAACTAAAATAGTCTATTACTAATAGATTATAGAAATATAGTCATCGTTTGTTATATGTACGATAAAGCATTTATTAACCGATTATAATAATATCCAAAATAAAGTTTGTCTAAAAGCATAATTTCAATGAAATATTCATAGAAAAATGCATACTAAACATTGTTTTGGACCAGTCTTAATGGTGGACCAATTGGACCTAGACATTCTAATTTGTAAAAGACTGGAAATTGTTCTATATTCGAGTTTTTTTCGGGAATTGAAGATTATCATAATGTTAATTTTGTCTCCACTTATTGGAGATGATGAGTTATCATCTCCACTTCCTTAGAAATTCATGGTGCATCTCCGGAATCATAAAAATGATAATACAAGCTTGACTAGATGGTTCTGGCACCTAATACAAAAAAAAAAACCCAACTATATTTATACAGTAAAAATCAGTTTTATCATTTGGAGAAGGATAGAGAATGGGTAATTAATCCATTCGATTTAGATATAGATCTTCCAAGTCTACGCTTACTTCAAGATTGGAACATGTGTATCTGAGAGTCGACATGACAAAGGGTACTGTTTATAGGTGAGTCATCTAAAATAATTAACAAATACGGCAAACAACCATATACATTAGGATCCTTCTAATTTACCAAAAGACAAAAAAAAAAGATATCATGAGTTAAGAATTTGCATTTGAAATTGGAAAAAAGAAAAACAGAAGAACACATAAAGTAGGGCCCTTTTCTAAGATTTGACTTTCAATAACAGACAATAGAGTTGGTTTTACGAAGATTTTTTTTTCTAAGATTCAAGAGTTCAAAACGAAACTAACATATCAGAATTTTGAAAACATTAGCTTCGAAAATAAGATATTTGATCTGGAAGAAAAACGAATTGTTAGAATGGGATGAAGCTCTAATCATTACATTTGGTTCTCTGTCTTAGGGTTGTTAAATAGCATTCCTCTTAAGTTCGGTTTTGATTGTAGAGACAAGAGGGTTTTGGAAACCTAGTCCAATCTCTTGGTGGAATGAGTTACTCCCAATTTCCAGTTAGTGCTTTCTAACACAAATCCTGGTGATTTCATAACTTGATTAGCATACAGTATATTTATGGGAAAAGTATATGTGCAAGTTGGTCCTCCCAAACTGTCTAGAAATTTCTGATGGAACTATGTTAAATATTACAATGAATATTTTAATCTAAGATTTTCACTGATATGTGTGTATATATATATATATGTATATTTAATGCTAAAAATATGAATTGTTTGGTCTTAAAACACCAATAAATTTGTTTAAGGTATCTAGTCTAACTTTTAGCTTAGCTTTAAAATCTAAAAACTGAATGGAGAGCGAGCATTATTTATTTCTTTTTTTCTTGCAACTTCAGTTTGGAGTTTTAATTAAGCAGAAAGTTATAAATGATGTAAAATCATCCTCAGCCTTCATCGTCTTAGGTTAGTGACCTAATTTTTTTTTTTTTAAAAAATCTTAGTTAAAGTAATTTTCTGGTTGTATTCGGTTAGAGACTAGTGGGTTTGGGATCCGGAATGGTTAAAAAAAATATTAATTTCAATAGAAAACCATTAACTCAAAAAGAACAAAAAGTCGCAGATAAACCCAACAGGGTCAATTGTTGAAGGGATAATATATATAAATGATGAATGGCGGACAAAAGTTCGACCAAAAAGAAAAAGGAATGGCAGAGAAAAGTTTCATTTGTTTTTTTGAGTCTTTAAATGTTTCGAGAGCTTATTAAAATTTGGAACTTTTGAAGAGAGAGAGAGAGAGATGGAAAGGAGTGCTTCTTCAAAATTGGGTCATGTACTCATGCTTCTTCTTCTTCTAAGCATCCTCTTTTTCCATACCGACTCTGCTTTGCCTTCTGATCATGAACAAATCTCGGTAACTGGTTAGTGCTTTAATTCACACACAGACACAGATGACACATATGGCCTATATGCATATCATAAACATCTACACATACATATTTCTTTCTCATATCATGCTGATAAGATGAAAAAAGTTCTTTCTAGTGTGTGACTTAGACAAATCTTTTTATCGATAATCTACGAAATATTCTAATCTCATAAATCAGATTTCATAAAATGTATAGACTTGTTGATTTGTGCATAATAGGTTTTATCGATATTATTTTATTGATATGATCATATTTTTTTAATACTGCGCTGTCTATAAAACACTTTCTATGACCAAAACGAATTTTTCTGTCAATCTATATAATTCTTTTAAACAGTATATTTTCAATACACGATAAAAATATATTTTATAACTGAAAACATTAAATTGTTTGAAACTGCTTAATTTTTAATAAAGGACCTTTTTATTTTTATTTTTAAAAAATATTTTCATGTTTAAAAATAATTTACATGCAAAAGATAATCAATTTTAAGAACAAAATGAAGGGAGGAGAATGATGATGTTTTATAAGCATAACATAGAGACACCACCATCGACAAGTGAACGAGGTGGTGGTCACGGTATGGTGCTCATATCCATTTGTTTTTTTTCGATATATGTCACGCATGTTTTTTCCTTTGTACATATTCATCTATATATTAATGTATAAATATTATTTCGTAGGAAGGAGACTGATGAGTATATACAGACCAAATGGAGACATATATACAGGTCCATCAACCAGTGGACATGGTGGTGGTCACGTTCATCAACATTCCACTCCATAATTGAACAGATCAAATACTTGAGCCAAAAAAGAATATGAATGTATAATTTGTATCTTATGTGATTTCAAGTAAGAATTTTAAAATATCAATATATATAGCATATGTTTGGGTAGTATATTAATTTGTAGTTTATAATATGATTTCGAGGAAAGATTTTGTGTTCTTAACAAATGCATAGCAAATGTATGTGTAATATAGTTCTTTTATAAAATATATTTTGACTGTAAACAATAAGTCTAATTCAATATTTTACGGTAGTTGTTATATCTATATTAATTTCTTTTAGTATTTCTTAATCGGAGTCAATAAAGTGCATGTAAAAGAGATTACTGCTTTTCCGAACTACTTTCTTGTACGTATTACTTGTTACCTTCTGTTGTTAAAAAACTAATGTCTGAACCGTGAATAGCTTATCTTATCAAAATATTCATATTTTATATTGGCTGATTAATATTCCATCTGAATTGGTTTTTGATTATTTGTATCGATGATGAGTACTGTCGTTTTCTTTTGTCCTTTTATTACTTTTATTAGTGCTGTTTTGTAAACTTTGGTGAGTCTTTTGTTAATGTTGGCAGATGGATGTGGAGTTTTTGAATAGAATCTATTTGATTCATGTTTTTGTAGGATGTCGATTCAACCAAATGTCAGTTTAGGATTTCTATAACGATTGTATTCACTTGGTTGTAAGTCGAAATTTAAAAGAAAATCTAAGAAAAAATTATCAATAACTACAACCGATAGAATTTCTGAAAGAATTTATAAATGATGTTGGAGTAGAAATATGGAACAACAAATATGGTTTTCCTCTGAAAGTAATTACACGGTTCATTAAAAAAAGTTCATTTGATCATCTAAAGACCGTCGGCATCTTTTTGTGAATGAACTTGTTTGCGATGTGCTCTTTTTTGTCATAGCTTTTGATATTTAAAGCGAATATGGCCCTAATTAGCATAGCATGTGATGGTGAAAATGAGGAGTCTGGCAAGGACAATAGAAACTTCTTCCCGTGATGGTCTCGGAAGAATGACAAAGTCTCCTCTTTTGGGAGAACATACTGATTTCTTTCTCGGGTAAGAAACAAAATAAAAATTCAGAAGAACTACAGCAACAAGAGGTATTTTATGTGAACAAAAAGGAGAATTATTGTTGAGGGATTTCTGACTTGTACTGTTGTGTCCACCACTTTCTCTAGACTCATTCACCTCTTCATTACAACAAATAAGGCAACTGGTGTCACTTATTTGATTTTGCTTTTACATTGGTTACATTTGACATGAACAGAAAATGTATAACTTATAAATAAGTTGTATTTTTTCGACAAATTATATAAGTTGTTTTGGTCTTTCTAGAAGTAGTGAATTAAACATAAACATAAACTCCTACTTAAAAATAATTTTAGTTTAATCAAATAGCGTCACTAAAAATTCAGCCGGATCGATACGCTTAACCGTAGAATATTACAATAGTTAACCAAAGAATATTTGATCGTCAAACGAACAGGACCTATGTAATAATTTTGTAAGCCTTTCTTTATCTTGGTCTTTGTTACTCAATTAATGAGTCGCCGATAAAGAGTTTACCTCTTGCTAAGCGTCATTTTTGACCTTATATAAGACTTTTTTGGTTTAAAAAGTCCTTATGTTGGACTTAGACTAGTCGCATTGTAAAGCCTCATTACTATTAACCCAATATATATATATATATATATATATATATATATATATATATAAATAAGAGTTTGGGATGAAGAGGTCTTGCAGTTTATCAAGAGAGAGAGAGAGAAAGAGAAATAGAGATGGCTGAAAAAGGTCCTTCGAGTTTGGGACTTGTGTTCTTGCTCCTAGTGATTCTTTTGGTCTTGTGCTCTAACGACTATGCTCTAGCGTCTCCACAAAAGTTACACCCATCATCAGGTTAGTTTTGACACATACATATCACACTGTAATAACTGTCTTAACTCGAGTTACAAAGTTAAGGAAAAAAACTATGGTCTTCTTCTAATAGATTTATTTTTTGTTTGTTTCATAAGTATATATATTCTCCTAACATTCGTAGAAAGAACTTTAATTTTTTTTTTTTTGTGCAATCATAAAGAACCTTTAATTATTAATGTTTTAAATAATATAAACAAAATAGGATGGAGAAGACAGTTGGTTCGAGTAGAGTCATCAACAAGTTATCGAGGAGGTGGATACGGTGGATATGGTCGAAGTCGAGGAGGTGGATATGGTGGAAGTCGAGGAGGTGGATACGGTGGATATGGTCGAAGTCGAGGAGGTGGATATGGTGGAAGTCGAGGAGGTGGATATGGTGGCTTTCATTCGCCATTGCCTTCACCTCCACCACCACTAGTATCACTACCACCTTCGATGTCACCGCATTTACCACTGCCATGATTCGAAGAGATACAAGCTGCTACGTAAGGAACGTCAACCCATCTATTCAAAGATAAATCTTTCCTGATCGATGTGACAAGAGATACAACTTAAAAAGGTTAAAAAATTATAGTTCATACTCAATATTTTCTGCGCTTTAAGGGTTTTATGAAAATAGTGTTTAGGTCGTTTACTGCGATCTGATTATTAATGAAATGAGGATAGATCTTTCTGATCCTCCAAAGGTATATACTGTATATAAAAGACAGATGTCCTAAATAAGGAAAATATGAATTAATTAGATGACTGATTAATTAAGATTTGCGCAATAGAAGGGCATCAATTCCTATTTAATTTTATCTTTAACTTTAACATGTCCATTGTTTTTTCGATTTTCTGATCGAAAAACCTATCGAGGGATACAAGTCAAAGTTGAGTTTTTGTTAGTTTGTTGGCTGTGAATTGAACACAAAGACAAGTCATTAATGAGTCTACTGACAAGTCAAAATAAGAGAGTAGATCTTTGTTACAAGAAGAGAGAAGAGAGTGTGAGTTGGCGAACATGAGGGGTCCTTGCAAGGACAATAGAAACTTCCTCCTGTGAGGGTCTCCGAAGAATTACAAAGTTTCCTCTGAATTTTGATTTTTTTCTTACCATGTTCTCCCAAAATAAATAATTCTTGGTAAGGGATTGTGACTTGTGAGTACTATAAATATTTTCATGGATTATCGTAACTGACGTTAATATGTGCCACTTGGAAAACGTTATGCTTAAACTTTGCATCAATTAAAATGGATGGAGTTAACGTTTATTATAGGTTTTTTTGGACAAAATGTGAATATTATTTACCAAAAATTAGAACGGTTTGCTATCATGCTTGGCGGAGCAAACAAATTTCAAAAAGACCCCAAAAAGAATAAAAAAGCATACTTGAGAACAGGTGAATAATTAAAAGGTTAGACTAATATATCTAATTACTCATATGTGAACTAAAGAGATAGCAGATCCCTGAATTCATATAGGTTTGCTTTCAAAGAGTTATATTAATTCAAGTTATTATTAATCTATTAATAATAACAAAATGAAAAACTATGATTAACCATTGTGTCTTTCTGTTGTACTTTTTCATGTATAACTACTAATTTATATAAAAGTTATCACTGTATGGTTGTCTTTTCGTTTTATTTTATTAATTGTATCGTTTCATAAATAACTGCCGATTATCAAAAGTTGTTTCTATGAATGAACCATTGAACCATTGTATCGTTCTAATTATTATTTTTTAATTAATTGTATATTTTCATGTATAACTGCTAATTAAAGTTATATAAAGGTTATTCTTCTACGGTTGTATTTTTTCATTTTTTTATTAATTGTACTATTTAATATATAACCGCTAATTATTAAAGGTTGTTTCTATGAATGAACTACTGAACCATTGTGTCTTTCTAATTATTATTTGTTTTAATTAATTGTACTTTTCATGTATAACTCCTAATTTATATAAAGTCTATCATTTTACGGTTGTGTCTTTTCGTTTTATTTTATTAATTATACTATTTCATATATAACCGCTGATTACCAAAAGTTGTTTCTAATGAACCATTGAACCATTGTGTCTTTCTAATTATTATTTGTTTTAATTAATTTTACCTTTTCAAGCATAACTACTAATTTATATAAAGTTTATCATTCGACGGTTGTGTCTTTTCGTTTTATTTTATTAATTGTACCATTTCATATATAACATACTTGTGTATTTTCAAGATTATATCTATTCTGTTTCATTATTCATTATTTGTTTTATTGAAATTTTTTATAATGCTTTCTTACTTTGAAAAACAACATCTTATATATCAATTTATTGTTGATAAACTTCAAATTAACTTAAAATTCCTTAATCAAAACATTGTTCATTTGCAAGCAATTGTTACCGAAATGGTGTTACAAAAAAGATTTTTTAGTAGATGGTTAGCTATGAATAACGAAAAACTTGAAATGAAAGATGAAAGATCTGGTCATTCCCCAAGAAAATATTTATTTGGAATAAATGCCAAAATATTTGGACTAAACAAAAAAATGGTAATTCTCTAGGCAATTATTTTAGTAATCTTAAAAGGCAACATAATATTTTTTTCTATGTTTTTTTAGTTTTTTTTTAATTCTATTCAGCCATGAATAAAGAAAACTTTGAATTGGAGGGTCGCACATCCTCTCAATATCCAAAAAAATATTTTTGGAAGAAAATTCAAAATATTAAGACTAAACGAAAAAATGGTAATTCTTTTGACAATTTTATCACTAATTTTAGGCAAAATAATTTTTTTCCTATGAGCTTATTAGTTATAGTTTAAAATCAGATTTTTAATTTATCATTGAATGTGCAAGTGTATCACTACTTTTGGTTATATTATAATAGTTATATAATTATTTGACACATGAAACATGATATACCAAATATAATGAGGAATAAAGATGCACTTTCTAAAGTAGATAATGCAACTAATAGATTTGGATGTGAAGTGAAAAAAAGAAGACAAAGAAGAAGCTAATTTATGTAATAGTGATGAAGATTTTAGTTTTGAAAAAAAAACATTAAATAAATTTCAAGACAAAAAGGCTAGGAAGAAACAAAAAAAGTTAAATCTGTGAAAAAAATAAAGATATGAAAAATTATGAATGAACCATTTTATCTTTATATTATTATTATTTTTATTAATTATATTTTTTGTGTATAATAGTTATTAATATGAAAAGGTTATCATTATTATAAAATTGTGTCTTTTTTTAATTATACATTTCTGTGAAAAACTACGAATAAATCTTATGTCATTCCATTAAATATATATATTTTTTTTAATTGTATTTTTATGTATATATCTCCTTGCTATAGTAGTATGGTTATGTCTTTTGGTCTTTTATATTGGAATAGTTGTTTATTGAGTGAATATATGATTATATTTTAATAGAAAATAAATGTTGGAGATTTAAGTGTTATGGTTATTTTGGTGAGTGATTAGAATGTTGAGTTTATGGTAATATTCTATTTATCAAGTATACAATTCACCTATTAAATGCCATAAAGTTGAAGTATCTACTACAGTTACAAATTTTCTAACACCATTGGCATAAGATCTATGAATCCACTATTTTAAACAAAAAAATATATATTATTTATTCAATACTATGATCAAATTTAGTTATTACGTATTTGTTTTTTATTTTTAAGAAATTCTTCATGTAGGAAATAATAACAATATGAAAAAACTATGAATGAACCACTGAACCATTGTGTCTTTCTATTTATTATTATTTTTAAATTAATTATACTATTTCATGTATAACTACTAGTTTATTTAAAGGTTGCAATTTACGGTTGTGTCTTTTCATTTTATTTTATTAATTATATCATTTTGTACATAACCGCTGATAATCAACGGTTGCTTCTTTTAATACTTATGTCTTTTCAAGATTGTATTTATTAATATATATATATATATGTTTATTTAGTGAATCTATGATTACATTTTCTGGTTACTTTATCAACCATTGCAACTCTTGAGTTTATAGTTATTTACTAAACATTGCAACTCTTGAAATTAAAGTTAATTTACCAACAATTGCACATCTTGAGTTGATAATTATTAAACCATTGCAACTATTCAAAATCTAAACAATTTATTTTTCAATATTAAAGCATTAAATCTTTTCATAATGAAGACACAATTACTTATTGAAGAAGCACAACTTTTCATTAACAAGATACAACTTTCTACAATATATATATATATATATAACAATAAGATATTGTTTTTGTTTTAATTTTCATTTAGAGATGGATAAACATTCTATTTATCAAGCATACAATTAACGTGTTAAACGCCATAAAGCTGAAGTATTTACTACAATTACAAATTTTTCTAACACCATTTGCATAAGATCTACGAGTTCACTATTGTTAAACGAAGAAAGTATTATTCATTCAAATAATATGATCAAAATTAGTTATTATGTATTGGCGTTTTCATTTTTAAAAAATCTACTCATGTAGGATTTTTTTAAAACTTGGATGATAATGTTTGAATCGTTATTGTTTCATCCTCCATTTAAGGGTGTAAAAGTTTAATACGAAATTGATATAATATAGTTTTAAAAATATTTTGCATGAAAGTATAAAACTCAATGAAACTAGAAGTTCAATAAAATCAGAAAGTTTCTCCCAACAACAATCTTCAATTAACAGTACGTCAGTTAAACTATATATTTTTTCAAAAAATATTTTTAGAATGTTAATTTATATTTATTAATTAATAATTCTTTTTTGAATAGATGGTGATTTTCAACCAACATCAAACAATGGCATTATCCCAAAAAAAAAGTTGTTATACTGAGTAATTCTATTGCTAGTCATAACAACATTAACTTTTTTAATATATTAGAACTAATAATGTTAAAAATTTAAAAGAAAAAGAGGAAGACCACGAAAAGAGGAACCAAATAATAACTTAATGAAATTCCCCATTGTAATACTTATGTTTAGTCATTGGAAAATATTGAAACAGATGCAGTCAGTAAACGACCATTGTTCTCAATTTGTTGCAAACAATGTCGTGTTTTACTCCCTACGGCTCGTGAGCATCCACCGTTATTTTGTCAACCATTGCAACTCTTGAGTTTATGGTTATTTACTAAACATTGCAACTATTGAGTTTAAGTTTATTTTACCAACCATTGCACCTATTGAGTTAATGATTATTGTAATTGTTAGAATTATGTTTCTTCTAAACTATTGCAACTATTCATTTGTACACTTTGGAATTCTATAAAATAAAAACTATGAGTGGACCATTGTATCTTTATATTTATTTTTTATTTTTAATTAATTATATATTTTCGTATATAACTGGTAATTTATTCAATGGTTACAATTCTATAGTTGAGTCTTTTCGTTTTATTTTATTACTTGTACCATTTCGTACATAATTGCCGATTATCAAAAAGTTGTTTCTCTTAATGCTTATGTCTTTTCAAGATTGTATATATTTGGTTCCACTATTCATTATTTCTTTTAATATTATTTTTTAATAATGCTCTCTAATTTTGAAAAACAACATCTTATACATCAATAATTTTTGTTGAAAATTTCAAATTAAGTTAGAATTCTTTGAGAAAAACATTGTTCATTTGCAAGCAATTGTTATCGAAATGGTGTTAGAAGAATTTTTTTGAGTAGATGGTTAGCCATGAATAAAGAGAAACTTGAAGTGGAGCGTGAAGATCTGCTCATTCCCTAAAAA